ACTGTAAGTTATATTCTTGTTTAATTAGACTTCTCTGTTTCATTTATTCGACTCTGTATAAATTGTTATTGTAGCTTAAACGGCTAAATCACGTTTGAGAGATTTTAAATCTCAGATCTGCTCAGGCGAAACCTGCTTTACAGGTCTCAGCACTCAAGCCTGCATTAATATAGGCAGGGCCAGTCTATTGTCGCCCATCAGCTGTAGATAGTTAACTAATTAGAGGGCCGTGGCCCTACAGCTGTGAGAACTGAGCAATCAGGCGTCCATTTTGGGTAGCTCTTTCCTGGAGCGTCAGCTTCAGCGTCAGACAGCCGAAGACTGACAAAGACATTGGAGTCCTGCGGGAGTAAGACTGACAAAGACATTAGAGTCCTACGGGAGTCACGAGGGAGGCAAAGAGGAGGCAAATCCTACTCTGATTGAGCTGGTGTCTTATTTCTCTTTTCTTTAGTTTTCTAGCCCCTCATGCTATAATCATGTGTATTTTCTCCATTCCTGTTCATGTGTCTTCTCGCAATTATCACTGGCCCCGTGTATCTCCTAATCGATATAACCGGCCTGCTCTCGTCTATCCCACGTGCTCCACTGAGATCCAACATCTAGTTTCTGGTGGCCTGTGGAATTGCCAGTCAGCTGTTCCTAAGGCTAACTTCATCTCTGGCTACGCCTCCCTGCAGTCTCTGGATTTCTTTGCTCTCACTGAGACCTGGATTACTCCATCCAACACATCCACCCCAGCAGCTCTTTCCACTGCATATTCCTTCTCCCATACACCCAGACCCACTGGCAGAGGAGGTGGCACTGGTCTCCTGCTCTCTCCCAAATGGAGCTTTTCCCTCTTCAAGCTACCTAACTTCACTCCTTCCACCTTTGAATTCCATGCCGTCACAGTAACCCATCCTATACAGTTAACCATTGTTGTTCTCTACCGTCCACCAGGTGCCTTGGGGGACTTCTTGGAGGAATTAGATAATCTCCTCTCACTCATCCCTGAAACTGGCCCTCCCGCTGTACTTCTCGGAGACTTCAACCTCCAGACGGGGAAGATAGACGAACTAACATCTCTGTTAACCGCCTTTGCTTTCTCACTGTCTCCGTCCCCACCGACTCATAAAGCTGGCAATGTCCTTGATCTCATATTCTCAAGGAGAATACTTCTAACCTCTCTGTAAACCCGCTCCACACATCCGATCACTTCTTCATTTCATTCTCTCTATCCCTTTCCAAACATAACAAACTAATCTCTTCCCATCCTGCACTTGTCCGCCGTAACCTTCGCTCCCTCTCCCCCTCTATCTTTGCCTCGTCGGTGCTCTCTGCCCTCCCTTCCTCTGATTCGTTCCAACTCCTGCCTCCAAACTCTGCTGCAGAAACTCTCCTCTCTACTCTCTCATCCACTCTGGACTCGCTCTGTCCTCTCACATCTCGGCAGGCTCGTCAGTCCCCTCCTGCTCCCTGGCTAAATTATGCACTGCGTGCTAATAGAACCGTCCTTAGGGCAGCAGAGCGGAAATGGTGGAAATCCAAACACCGTGACGACCTCCTAACCTATCAAGCTCTCCTCTCCTCTTTCTCTGCTTCGATCTCTCAGGCAAAAAGCACTTTCTTTCAAGATAAGATCCAATCTTCCTATTCCAATCCTAAAAAACTATTTTCCATCTTCTCCACCCTCTTGGACCCTCCAAAAGCTCCTCCCCCCTCCTCACTTCTGTCAAGCGACTTTGTTACCCACTTTGAAAAAAAGGTTGATGATATTCGCTCTTCTTTTTCTGACTCACCTTTACTCACCGCTGGGTCACCGGACCCTCCTTCCACCAACACACTTACCTCCTTTTCCCCTCTCTCTCCAAGTGAGGTTCTTACCCTCATTACCTCTGCCCGCCCTACCACCTGTCCTCTGGACCCTATCCCTTCAAACCTCCTTCAGACTATCGCTCCTGATATTCTACCGTTTCTCACCCATTTCATCAACACTTCTCTAACTTCTGGTCACTTTCCAAACAGTCTCAAGGAGGCAAGAGTAAACCCTCTCCTAAAGAAACCCACTCTCAATCCGTCTGATGTTATAAACTACAGGCCTGTCTCTCTCCTCCCGTTCCTGTCTAAATCACTTGAACGCGCTGTCTTTAAACAACTCTCCTGTTATCTCAATCAGAACAACCTTCTGGATCCGCACCAGTCTGGTTTCAAGGCAGGTCACTCCACAGAAACTGCTCTCATTGCTGTCACGGAGGAACTGCACACTGCCAAAACTGCATCCCTCTCCTCTGTCATCATCCTGTTGGACCTGTCTGCTGCATTTGACACGGTGAATCATCAGATCCTCCTTCGCACTCTCCAAAAACTTGGAGTTTCAGGCTCTGCACTTTCCCTCCTCACCTCATACCTGAAAGACCGTACCTACAGGGTGACTTGGAGAGGGTCTGAGTCCGACCCTTGTCAATTAACTACGGGGGTCCCTCAGGTCTCTGTTCTTGGTCCCCTCCTCTTCTCCCTGTACACAAACTCGCTCGGATCAGTCATTAGCCCGCATGGTTTTTCATACCACTGCTACGCTGATGACACCCAATTAATTCTGTCCTTTCCCCGCTCAGAGACCCAGGTCGTTGCACGCATCTCTGCTTGTCTAGCTGACATCTCTCAGTGGATGTCTGCTCACCACCTCAAGCTCAACCTTGACAAGACTGAGCTGCTCTTCCTCCTGGGAAAAGATTGTCCCACTCTTGACCTAACAATCAACATCGGCACCTCAGTTGTTTCCCCGACTCAGACTGCAAGGAATCTGGGTGTGACCCTAGATAACAACCTGTCCTTCACTGCAAACATCGCTGCTACAACCCGTTGCTGCAGATACACGCTTTACAACATCAGGAAGATACGTCCCCAGCTGACTCAGAAAGCGACTCAGGTTCTGGTCCAGGCTCTCGTCATCTCACGCCTAGACTACTGCAACTCCCTCCTGGCTGGTCTACCTGCATGTGCCATCCGACCTCTGCAGCTCATCCAGAATGCAGCGGCTCGTCTGGTCTTCAACCTTCCTAGATTCTCCCACACCACTCCGCTCCTCCGCTCCCTTCACTGGCTTCCGGTAACTGCTAGAATCCACTTCAAGACACTGGTACTTGCTTACCATGCTGCGAATGGATCTGGCCCTTCCTACATCCAGGACATGGTTAACCGTACACCCCAGCGCGTGCACTACGCTCTGCATCAGCCAAACGACTCGTTGCGCCCTCGCTGCGCCCTCGCTGCGAGGGGGACCCAAGTTCCCATCGGCGAAAACACGTGGGTTTGCTGTCCTGGCTCCAAGATGGTGGAATGAGCTCCCCATTGACATCAGGATGGCAGATAGCTTGCACATCTTCCGGCGCAAACTGAAAACTCATCTCTTTCGACTCCACTTCGAGCGTTAGAACTATTAACGAAGCACTTTTATACTAATAAAGGACTGGCTTATCTAAAGCCAGTTGAGTAGCACTTGAAATGTTTGGCTCTATGAAACCTGATGTACTTATATGATTCTGTTTTCTTCAAGGTTGTGTCTTCCTGGTCGAATGTACTTATTGTAAGTCGCTTTGGATAAAAGCGTCAGCTAAATGCAATGTAATGTAATGTAATGTAATGTATATGCTGCCCCTTCTGCCTGGAATAATGTACAGAAGGAGCTGAAACTGTCAGATTTGATGGGGGAGTTCAGGTCCATCTTCAAGGACAGAGAACAAAATACTCTTGGTCTATGTGATTGCTCTTATATCTCCTAATTTAAGTTCTTTTAAAATTGTGCCAGTTTTGATGTTTTATAAGGTTTTTTTATTTGCATATTGACTGGATAATGTGCCATTTAATTTGTGTTTTACGACAGCTGTAATCGTCTGCCTGTGTTGTATGTGTTTTATTTGTTGTAACTTTGTTCATGCTGCTCACTTGGCCAGGTCGCTCTTGAAAAAGAGATTTTAATCTCAATGAGACTTTTTACCTGGTTAAATAAAGGATATATATAATGAACATGGTCAGAAACAGATACATGGTAACAGAAGGGTAAATTCTAGAAATGAGGGGTTACGTGTGGTAACCCTTGTTATACAGGCGGAGCCCTCTACTGGACTCTATGGGTACTCCCCTCGATCCTATCATGCAAGCATTCATCCACTGAGACTTTCTAGACGTAGCCGGCCCATGGGCGGGCCTACCTAAATGTGCACGCATATCACCGCATAAAAGGAGGCCTCACCTCCTTACTGTCATCCTTTACTTCTCTTCAGCAAGTAGCATAGAACAGACGGGGCCCCTGAGTAGAGGGCTCCGCCTGTGCTTATATAACTAGGGTTACCATACGTAACCCCTCGTTATATCTCTCACAGATACCCGCATAGCGCGGTTTATCACTCTCACCCGCGCATGCGCACTAGCTGCCTCCTTTACTGGAGTTACAACCTGGGCAGCGAGTGGGGAAACTGTACTGTCAACATTACGTGGCTGTGTGGGTGTGTGCCACACAGCCATACAGCCTGCACGCTCCGCCGCCATTGTCATCACCGCCGGGAAGTCCTGTCGCGCAGACCTGTGCTGTTGGCCTTCCTGGCGTTCGCCGGAAGTCCCAGACGACGAGGTGTCGTCAGCGTCGTCCCCGACGCTCGGACCCGCCCGGTCCGCTGGAATGGCGAACACGAAGGGCACTCCCTCCTTGAGGTCCTCCATCTCCAGAGATATAACCTCAATATGTGTATTGCAGTGCTAATGTATTCGATTGAGCAGATTTCTGTGTACAATAACACAATCCAGCACCTGAATCACTATCTGCCGAGAGATTGTAGGCATGAGATTGTTGTTGATTAGAAATGTGGTTGGGAAATTTAGAAAAGGGTTAGGGTTAGCGAATCTTCTATAACCGTCTCTTTGAGAAGTCCCTGTGAGTTACAGCCAGCAACAGAAGTGTGACCTACTCTAAATTGATGTAAACTGTACTCAGAACAAGAAATACTCAAACACAGAAGCAGTTTAGGTTATGACAGTTTTATTGAGTGCCAAGAGAGTTAATAGCAGGAGTCGTTGATGCGCTTCATGCTCATGAACCTCATGCTGCTCTGGCCCATGTTCATGAAGTTCTTGTACTCGCCGGACCTCACGTACATCATCTTGCCTCTGAACTGGGCCTGCTCGTACATCAGCCAGTTGCCCTCCATCACGTTGCAGGACATGCAGTTGGACATGCTGAAACGCTCCATGACGTTGTCACAGTCGTCCATCAGCTCGGACATCTGACCTCCAAAGTTCTCCTTCTCGTATATCTTCATCCTGTAGGATCCCCTGTGCTGTGGTGCAAAAGAGGGGTGGGTTTAACTCAGAGCATTTCATATTTTCAGCATGATCTCTATATGGAGATTTGGTCTACAGTAAATCTAGCCAGGTGTGAGATCTTACCATGTTGATCATGCGGCAGGACTTGATGCAGTCGCTCATGCCCATCATGCTCATGTAGTCGGCGTACTCGCCCCTCCTCATGAAGTACTGGTTTCCCATGTAGTTGGTGCGGTCATACACCATGAAGCAGCCCTTCTCCACCCTGCAGGAGTGGCACCTGTTCAGGTAGGAGGACATGTCGGAGCAGTCGCTCATGCACTCATAGGAGCGACCCTGGAAGTTCTTCTCCTCGTAGAAGGTGATCTGAGAGAGGGAAAGTCTCTAGTTAGCATCATGTGTTTAGGTTGAAAGCTGTACATGTCTAATGTAGGAAAACATGTTCAATGTGAATCAAGCGTTCTTTGGATGCACTGCTGTTAAGGATAACCCTTAGTATAGCTGCAAAAACTGATGTTTTGTCCAGCAGCAGAAACAAGCTCCAACACAACACAGTTACCTATTTATCCATGCAGAAGGCATGGAGCAACATCAGTATTTATTTGGAGCTGTGTTTCTGACCACTTGATGCTTGTCTAGATAATTACATTTATTGTGTCTATTCTTTAGCTAAATGCTTGAATCATAACCTGCTTAATACTTCGATAAAGTCACAAACTAACGTTTTTTGAATGCCCTTTAGTGCTGGGCAGGTTGTGTTTTTAGAGCTTCTTTACAGTTAAACAGCTGCCTGTTGCGACCCAAATGACACAAAGAGCTGTGAGAGTAAAACCAAACAGTAAAATGGAGGGCCTCCAAACAAAAACATTGAGCTTAACGACCCTTTAAAGCTTTAGAGCTGAAAGGGAAACTGCTGAGTTGGGTGACAACTTGCCTACAAGATACATTTAATCATTATTAATGGAAAACTGCAGCAGTTTTCAAGTATCACTGATTCATAAGACTCAACTCACAATGGCAATTTGCAGATTATCTTTAGTTTTTGTGACATTATGAAAATCAGAGAGCTTACCTTGCTGTTCATGTTCATTCCGGAGGAAGTCATCTTGCTGGTCAGTGGTCTGCTGCTGCTGGTGGTACTGCTGCTGCTCTTGTACTGAACTGTACTCTACCTGGTTTAACCCTTTGCTTTTATACCTGACCGGCAGACTTAACCCTTTTGTCTAAACCCCCTGAGCCAGCAACAGAGCCATAGAAATGCAAAGAATATGGAGGGATTGTCCACATTTCCAGGGGCCAGGGAGCTTAGGAATCCTCCCTTTCTCGTGAGGGCGTCACAAAAACATTGAAAGTGTTAACAATTTGGGCTAACACCTGGACATTGTAAAGTCATTGTGTCAGTTACACCATTTATAACTGTTGTTTTTATTTTTCCTGACACTTAGCTGTTTAGTTACTTCATTTTCTTGTAGTAAGTGCATTATTTGTTTATCAACTTTTGTAAGTTTTATGATGAGGATGTCAAAGCATGGTATAATCATTGTATAAAAGTTGAACATGGCAAAAAAGAGAATAACGTCAAAAAAATTGAAAACTGTATACAAAATGTGTAAACATTTGTTATTCCATTACGCAAAAAAGTTATAATGACGTTGATTGTTTGTGTGAGTAAATGGAACAGAAGTAAGTAATGAGGTGATGTTAAAATATAAATAAACATATATATATATATATACATATAAAATGAAAGGGAAAACTAAATTGAATTGAATGAAAATGTATTAACAAAAATAAAGGATGTATTTTATTTGATCATAAAGGCTAAACATTCAGTTTTAATATAGCTAATTCCGAAATGTATTCGTAATGTTTTTGTTTTTTTACAGGTTCTGGATATAGTTCATCTTATTTTATCAACCCACTCAATTCAACAATTGTCATCAGGATACAGGCACCGTTATGACATGAAGTCTGCTGTACTGGTAGATTTAAATAATGTAGGTGCACTGTGACTTCTCTCCAGTGGAGGGCGCTGTGGCGCGTGCTCTGCTCTCTGCGGTGACTCTCTTGTCTTGGTAACAACAGTTGTTGTCAAACGTTGCTAAGGAAGCTACTCTTAAATAAGCCACACTCAATCCAAAAAGTAAACCACAGGTAACTTTACATCAATGTGATAACAGTTCAATAACTGTGCTGCATAATGTTAGAAACGATCAACACCTCCTGTTTATTAACGCGATCTTATAAACGTTTGCTTTCAACGTTAGCTCAGCTAGCCTTTATAATGCTTCTGTTATGCTAGGCTAGTTTAGGTTTAGCTGAAGGTAGCAGTGGGTTTTATGTTACTAAACTTGACTTGTTGGCTGGATTAATAGATAATAAACAGAAATCACGGAGGTTTCATGAGCGATTACATTGGAAAACAAGGGGACTTTCGACTCAGTCTCGGACTCTAGCTAACTTTGCTAACATTAGCATAACTACTTCACGGTGCTAGTATTTATTTAGTCAACTGGCCTAAATTGCTTTACGCCAATGTTGAAGATATATCTAACTAACCGTAATGTTGCACGTCAACAATTGTTAACATTGTCTTTTATTGCCAATATCATAAGACAAACAAGTTATACAGCAAGCTTTCCTTGTATTGCTAACTAATTTGAAGGCAGCATCTCAATGAATAATTGTATTCTCTTTATGTTCAGCTGTATGTCAGATAGCAATGAGAGAGCTTCATCCTCCTGACCACAGCTGGTCTCAGACATGACGATAGGATGACCGAGAATGGAGAGGACAGCCCCCTCCATCAGCAAAATCCTGCTAACGGAGATTCAGCTGTCAACAGCAGGACCCTCAAGACCTCCTTAGTGGATGCCAAATCTAGCAAGGAACACAAAGATGCCCTTAAAGTCAATGCTAGAAATGCAGAGGGGGAGTTCAGTCCATACCAGCCTCGGCCACCCCCACAACCCAGGCTGTCCAGCAAAAGTGTCTCAGTGGAGGAAACGCTGAGAACCAGGAGGTTGAAAAACAGCCAGGAGAGTCTGAGTGACCCGGTAGAGACTGGCTCCTCCTCAGACTCGCTTAAAGAGGACCTGACAGCCTTAGCACAAGGTGGGTTTGTTTTCAGGGAGGCTGCCACCACAAGGAATGACCAGGAATCCAATGTGAGACCCCTCTCTGCTGCTGCGTCAGGATCCCCTGTCTCCCGGGACAGAGGGAGCAGTCTCTCTGATCATGGGGGGAGGCCCCGCAGCCAGCAGAGCGACCCGACAGACCTACGGGCCAGGCCCAGCAAGGTGCTTCTGTCCCCGGTGCAGCCCACGGGGAAGCTGCCTGCTCTGGAGAAGGGCTTTGCGTCAGCCACTTTAAAGGCAGCTAATAGGATTGACGGGGATTGTTTGGATTATGCTGTGTCGGCCAAAGAGAAACCTAGTGATAGACTCCACAGGAACCTGAGCGACAGCCGGCTTCTGGAGAACATGGGCTCGGATAGCGCCTCTGTCCACTCCATGAGGTCCAACTACAGCGTGCTGAGCCCCATCAGACCCCAGGATGTGAGGAACAGGTAGGCACATCATGACCATGTACATGATGTCCTGGAGCCATCCACAGACTGCATGCGAAGGCTGTTTTGTAAGGCTTACTCTTTCCGGGGTTGGAAGGCTGTCTCTTTCAAGGGTTGATAAGGTCCTAATTTAGATATAGGCCTATCCATTCCAACAATAATGCAGTCTTGTAATGGCATATCTATGGCTTACTTTGTCAATAGTGTATCAGCCTGAGCTCTGGCAAGGCTTCAACTCCCTTATACCAAAAGGAAGTTACTCTGTACAGGCACTGATACGTATACGTTATAGTAACTTATATACACTGCAAGCCTCTGATTTGAGCTGATTAGCATTGCATTTGGAGCTTGGTTCATTGAAACCAAGGCCCCAGGATTTTTGTATTCTGTGCACAACATTCCCATCTTTAGGAAAAGAGTGGTGGGGGAATAACATGAGATCAGAGGAGATGCTCGCTCAGTAAAGTTTTTGACAGAAGGAGCGGCAAAAATGGGTCGTAATTCTACAGTGTCAATGCACAGTCAGTGCCCAGGAGGAAATGGTGTTTTTACTTTTATTATTGAATCAACACCTGTGACAGCCTTTCCTTTTTTTCAATGCTGCACACTTCAGGGCAAGTTGGCTGCCATTCAAAGTGTTCATTTAGCTTTTCAATGTGTATTTTGCAGAAGCTTTCTGGAGGGCAGCGTGCTGGGAAGCGGTGCCCTGCTCGGGGCTGAGGAGCTGGACCGCCACTTCCCCGACAGGAAAGTGGGCATCTACATAGCCACCTGGAACATGCAGGGAGAGAAGGTGGGAGGAAATCATGACTCAGCATCTCACAAACCAACAGGCATTTCAAGTCTTCCTAATTGAGAAGTAACCACATTTCTAATGTGTTCAGGGGCTGCCAACCAACTTAGATGACCTCCTCCTCCCAACAGACTCTGAATTTGCTCAAGACTTTTATATAATCGGGGTCCAGGAGGGCTGCCCTGACAGGTATCTGGTGTTTGTTAGACTTTAATCATCGTCACATATTAAATGTTAGTTACTATTACTCTATTGTCAACTAACTCGGTTATACTTCTGTGTATGTGACAGGAGGGAGTGGGAGGTCCGTCTTCAGGAGACCCTGGGACCGTACTACGTCATGCTGTACGCAGCAGCACATGGTGTTTTGTATCTCACTGTATTTGTCAGAAGGGACCTCATCTGGTTCTGCTCAGGTAATACACTCCTCCGATGTCAATCCATGCTTATGTAACTTAGGTTTAGTGCAAGTTATTTGAAGATGTTTTTGAAGCCACTAGACATATTGCTTTAAATAAGCATGTGAGCATCAAAAGCTATTTGATCATTATTGGCACAATCTACATGGTTTTGAGTTTGTATGTAACTGAATATACTGTTTTTGACACTGACTACAACATTTTGTTTTCCTGTTGACCCCCCAGAGGTGGAGCACGCCACAGTCACAACCAGGATCATCTCTCAGATCAAGACCAAAGGGGCTGTCGGAATCGCCTTCACCTTTTTTGGCACTTCTTTCCTTTTCATCACATCCCACTTTACCTGTGAGTACGAGGTTACCTAGTGCTATTCACTCTAGCAAGAGACTATTGTTAATCATGGCTGCTGTAGATAGGATTAGTTTGAGATTTGTTCTTAAGTTTAGGAGGAATATTGCAGCATAGAGGGTCATTTTTCTTCTCTGTCATGCCAGCATGAGTTGTTTTATTTCTTCAGCATACGAGCAAAGTTATTATTGTGAACTGTCAACACATTCCGACAGGCATGTGTTGGTCATACACTCATCTTAACTGCCTTTACGCCTGCCCTTATTTCACATGTTTGTATTAAAACTTTGCAGAATGAACAGCTGAGCACTCTTACATGTTTTTAATTTCGGATGATGTTCTTGTTTCAGCTGGAGATTCCAAAGTTTACGAGAGAGTACTTGATTACAACAAGATCATCGAGGCCCTAGCTCTACCAAAAGGCCTTCCAGACACCAACCCATACCGCTCCACGTCATGTAAGACTCTTCTGTGAAAGTTTAAAACATTGTGACGGGGATGTATTTGAACCCTGAGCTGAACAACATGATCAAACTTGAACAGATAGCAATTAGCCTCATATTCTGAGAGAGCCAAAGGAAGTATTTGTTTTGACAGTTTCCATCAAACTGTACAACTGACACTGAGAATAACATCCTTATCATGCGTAATAGTTGTTTTCTAGTTGACTTGTTTTACTAAATGTCGTTGTATTGTTATCCTATGTTGCACTTGTGTTAGTATTACTTCTTATACTATTGGTACTTTTTTTACTCTATTGAGTCTACTGGTATTTCTGAAAGTCAGAATAAGGGTAAAATAAAACATTTGTTCTCATCAATCATCTAAATGCTTCAAAATTCAAATGTGTCAATCCTTCACTGGATTAATGGCAACTCAATATTATTTTGAAGCCTCAACCTATTCACCGGTATCCCACGTTTTAAATATTTGACTAGGATTAATTGTACCTGTGGGAACTAGATTTAAATGTCTAGACCTGATGGGTTGAAAAAATAGTTTTTTAGCTAATACAAACTATTTTTGGTTTTGTGTCCATGACTATCTGTTTTAAACCCAGCTGTAGTGCTCCTATTGAATGTAGAATATAAATAATTGTTGTTCATATACTTAAATATTTTGGATAACATTCTTGATGCTAGTAAGAAAAATGGCTGGATCTTTCATTATCATAGTATGTCATTTTTAATTGTAGCCGATGTCACCACAAGATTCGACCAGGTGTTCTGGTTTGGAGATTTTAACTTCCGGCTGAGTAAACCCCGGGCCGAAGTGGAGGCCATCATAAAGCGCACAGCGGGCGGAGATATGGGTCCTCTGCTGGAGCACGACCAGCTCTCCAAGGAGATGAAGGAGGGTATGATTGCATCTCTGTGAACATTAACATTTTGAAAACTCAGTAGGTTGTTGTCAATTCTCACTGCATATTTGTTTTTGTTCTCTCCTCCAGGTTCAATCTTTAAAGGTTTCCAGGAGGCACCTATACACTTCCTCCCCACATACAAGTTTAACGTTGGCTGTGATGTCTACGACACTACTTCTAAACAGAGAACGCCCTCATTCACAGTAAGAAAATAAGAAAATCAAGCCACTGAAATAAACCAAATATTCAGGATGAAAGCGCACATATGCTGCTCCAGTCGAAATGTGGTTCTGTGTGCGTGTTCTGGCTCTCAGCGGAGCGACACTTGTCTGTTTGTGTTCACAGGACAGGATCGTGTTCAGGAGCAGGCAGGCTGATGATATCAGAGCGTTCAAGTACACCTGCTGCTCGGGCATCAAGACGTCCGACCATCGGCCCGTCATCGGCGTCTTCCAGGTCAAACTCAGGCCAGGCAGGGACAAGTGAGTCCCACTGCTCTCAAAAACAGCAACACATATAGTTATCATGTGAAGGATGCTTCCAACTATGCATTGGTGTTTGTCAACAACCAGAAGAGCTGACCAATTTCAATTTGTTTGTTATCTTAATTATACCAGTACATATATTATACATTGTGCCAAGTTATAAACACTTCTGTTGATAAATCCTATGATACAAAGATGTTAATAAGTTAGATTGTTATCACTTCTGTAATTGTACGATAATCTCAAAATAAAACTTTAGTTTAGCTTCCCGTTACTATCCAGTGAGTATTAAAAAAACTTTAAAAAATGGTTGATTTCTTCACTGTAATAAGATGATATCAAAGGAAGGTCTTGGCGTTATTGTGATATCACTTTGAGTTCACCATTTAATTAAAAGTGATCAAAAAGGATGACAACATAATTCATATAATTGCACTCCCACATCACCAGCTATAAGTTATCAGTATATTTAGTTGTAATGAATGAATGAAATGAAGCTGACGTACTCATTGTCCACAGTTGTTAATCCCATGGGTCAAACAGATCCTACCCATAACAGTGATGCAGTTAGAAAGTCAATTGTCTTAGTAGCTCGTAAAGTACTCTTCTAGTTAAACGTTTTTAAATCACAAATGAATATGTGGTCATTTTCAAATGTGTGGCAGCAATAATTGTAATCTTTAATCTTACTTAAATCAGGTGCGCTGAATTTGTTTATTTCTGTTCTTCAGTATTCCCCTGGGTGCGGGACAGTTTGACAGAGGCTTGTACTTGGAGGGCATCCGGAGGAGGATCACCAGAGAGCTGAAGAGGAGGGAGGCCATGAAGAGCGAAAGTACCAGCACCATCTGCACCATTTCCTGAACCCGTCCAAAACAAACTCTCCAGACCGGACCGCACTCGATCCATCTGTGCCTGAAACCGGAATCTAAATAAATGAGTGCAGAAGAAGGACCAAAAGGGAACCAGTTGTCTTAACTACACAGAGTGCGCCCTCTGTTGGGCGTAAACGGGAACTGTGTGTGGAAGTGGCTGGCTGTTCTTGAGGGCAGGGACCTCGAGGTCAGTCACACAGAGGTTTGCAGACACAGCAGCAGTCTGGCTCTTATTTATTCAGCCCCCTCTACTCAAACATGACTGAGACAGCATGGGGGCTGCCATTGTGTCATATTCTTCACTCGCATGCTCCAGTGTGAACTGATCCAATCTTTAAAGGCTCTGTAACTGCATTCACCTTCTAATGGTCTTTTGTGTAGGTGATCATAAACCACAAAGCCATTTTTTGCTGAATACTTCATCAGTAGTACATTTCCATGTGGATTTGTCGTCAAATAGCTTAACAAACATTCTCTAATTTTGGTGGCACATAGAGGTGCACTGTTTAATGTAATTAAGGCGTCAGCCACTGGTCAATTTTAACTTGAATTATTTTCAGAGCTAAATGTTTTGTAGGAGAGTGTGACTGAAGAAGGGAGGTTAACATTCCCAGACTGACATTGAACGCTGGTCAGGAGTTTGTTACAACTTGTTACTGTTGAACTTCAGGGAGACCAAATGTATTTGGCAGCCTATATGTAACTTTCTTAAACAGGAACTCACATCTTTAAATAGATGATTGCACTGTTAATGCCTGTCACGTCTTTTTCTCGTATTAGGCCAAGTGACCCTTTGCTACAGAATGTAACCCAATGCCTTACCTCTCATCTCACTGCAGTGTAACCTCATACTAACTGTCCATGTACTGTATGGAACATATTAATGAACTTGCATTCCCAGCGAGAATAAAGTGCCTGTGGGTCTTGTTTTTGTATCCTTAAGACCTCTTAACTTTATCTGCATATTTTTACATGTCACCCATGATGTAATAAACATTTTAAAACACTATTTGTTGGATTCATTCTGTCTACTGCATTGTAACCCAAGACCTTTAAAATATAGTTTTATTTGTGGAAGTAATAACATTTATTTACCAGTTGGTATGCAGGTGTTAAGTTTCACATATTCACTTTAGTCAGAAGCCACTGAAATATTTAAACAAAATACACATGGGTGTATTTGGGTGTTAAAAGTTGTTTTCATGTCTTATGTCTAATGGTATCCTCTTTAAAGGCTTACTCGCTTTCGTCTTAGAAATAATGTACGATACTTCCATATATTATAGTAGTACTGACCTTTCTTTATACCGTTAATATCATTTATTTGTTTTTTTATTTGAAATGGCATCAACACAACCACAAAAATAGAAAAAAATAACACGTTTCACTTTAGATTTAAATCTGTTTACACGCAGTGGTTTTCAAACTGGGGCGCGAACCCTGGTGGGTTGCGGAGGTACTGCAGGGGGGGCGCGGGAAGATTTTTTCATTTGATTATTTTCTCCTTTTAGCTTTGAAGCACCTTGAGATGACGTTGTTTTAAAGTGTGCTATATAAATCAAATGTATTATTATTCAATTGCAAACAAACACTGCTCGAAAATATCTCATTGGTCAGAGAGCTGTGGGCATAATGCTGCCTTTTGCAACATCCTACTTGTGTGAGATAGGCTTTTCTTGCTGCCATCAAAACGAAATACAGATCAAAGCTGAACATTGAGAATGAACTGAGAGTGGCAGTCTCAAAACAACAGCCCCGGTTTGAGAAGATCTGCGAGGGAAAGCAAGCACACACAAGTCATTGATAGGCTATGTGTGGAATAGGAATGGTAAAGTGATGCAACCTGCAGTAGAAATAACAGTTCATTCATATATTTTCCTTAAAGAAATTCGAATTTAAAAATCTACTACTCTGGGAAGAAGGCCTGCTAGTTTTAATTAGGCCAAATGAATTCACAGTATCTATTACAAGCACTTTTGTTCATGTGTAATCCATAATAAAATATACAATTATAGTTGGATCTTTGTATCTTCTTATTATTAGCAGAGAAAATGTAATGTTTTTACAACAATATACAATTAATCCTACCAATATAGATGGGAACTGGGTTGGGGGGTCCCGAAAATATTTCCAATTACCCAAGGGGGGCCCGACTGAAAAAGTTTGGGAACCACTGGTTTACAGCACATCTGAGAATTGCCTATAGTTGTCAGGTGTGTCATATTTAAATAAACATTTCAAAGTATTCCTTTATTCATCTATTTAGCATTTGTGTGTGCCTGGTAAGGGAGACTACGAAGCTCTTTCGTACAAATGGAAACATTTTCAACAGTTTTCTTATCAATACACTCAATTTCAGAGAGTTGAGGGGTTTGCAAGCTGAGAAAAACCATAGCGAGATGAAATATCCGTTTAGACACTGCTGGGATGCTAGACACCCGCTTCTGTTGACAATATGTTGTTTTAGTGTAGCGTTTTGGTATGTGGATTTTAAAATGAACACCCCAGTAAATAAGGAAATATGGCTTTCCTGCTCACAAACAATAAATACAGATACTCGCACTGTATGTGGATTACTGTAACCTTATAGTAATATGTAACTTTTCTTTAAAATCACCTCTCTCAGAGGTTTCGGTGAAGAACTTGGGTTTTAGTCCCCTCCCGCAGTGAGCTGTGTCAGTTCTGTGGTGGGAGGGAACACTACTGTAATCTTCCAGTCCAGTTTATTTACAGAGATGTCTGCCAGTGGCCGCCGGCTCGACGAGGACCTATCGGAAGAGGCGGTACATGCGGGGCAGACGTCCGTCTTTGCTGGACAGGGCGGCCTGGATGTGTTCGTATGAGGGGAGCTCCGTCAGGTCTCCCAGCGCTGCGACCGCCGGCTTACTGCGCAGCATCTTGGTGGTTACTCTCTTAATGTCACTGGCTGTCACGTTGCCTGGAAATGATATGTTCACAAGTCAAAAACCAGAATGTTGAAATAAGACCATTTCTACTTATTTACATATTTGTTCTCCAATAGAAGGACTTGATGCCATTTATGACCACCATGAATGTGGTTCAGTACTCACTTATGAGGTCACAGAGCTCATGTGGCAGCTTTCTCTTCCCTGTGGAGAGAACCTGGCGACCAACATCTTCAAAAATAACCGGCCGCGACTCGAGGTTCATCATCAGCATGGACTTGAGCTGAGTCTTAGCCCTCTCCAACTCCATCTGGAAAAACAGGCAGGAAAATGGTCTACAAATTGTATATCTTTGTTGTTTTTTCTTCTTATATTGCTGACTTTTTGGATTGCCTTGATAGAGAAGCACAGCCGTTACCTCTCCTGCGCTGCCAGCCATCTGAATGAACTCTCTGGTTATTATCTCCACCATTTCCCGCACCTGGAGGCAAATGTATGTTACGATAAGACACAAGAAAGCCATGGGAACATTTCAAAAACAGACCATGTAACTAAGTCTAGGGAGGGATATCTCACACTGTTTTGACTTTTCTCTGCTAAATAATTATTGGTTAAAATAATAACAACAATTTATTTGTAAAGCATCCTTCATAAAGACATGCACCTTAAGGTACTTTACATAATCACAAAAACAAGAAACACATTGAGTCAACAAGTAAACAGATAATGATACAGTTCTCAGCGATGCTGAAAGCAAGCCATTTAAAAGATCAACCAATACCATTTTAACAAAGAACCGCATGTGAGACCAAACAGATATTTAAACCCTGCTGTTCTGGGCCTGTACCGACCTGTCGGGGGTCTGCACTGGCGTGGATACACAGCAGACCGCTGTCCTCATAGCTGTGATGGTAAGCGGTGGCATTGTACATCCAATGATGTCTACAGCAGACAAGGAAAATAAGACAATTAGTGAAACGGACTGGTGTCAAGTAGTGTTTTATATTTGATGAGATGCTGAATCAAGGTTTGGGAGAGCTTTACCTGTTGAGCACGTTCAGGTAAAGGCGGGTGAACATTCCTTTCCCAGGTCCTCCAGCTGAAAAGGAGCCACCTCCACCCATCATCATGTTGAGCACTGCGAAGGGGATGAAGTCGTCCTCCTGTTTAGAGAAAACAAACATTTCTTAGACATTTTTAAACTGGACTTTGTTGCCAACATATATAAGATGCTTAGTTGAGAATCTTCAGGATAGCCGTGCAATGCAAACACCCACCAGGAAGGAGCAGCTCTCCAGGCCGATCATGATGTGGGTCAGCTCTGGGATCGGGGTGGGTCCAAGGCTCACATCCGACATGTCCTTCTCCATCTAACAGATTAAAGGAAGATGTTATTCACATACCTTCATGACTAACTGCAACAAAGCTCATATCAGTATAACAAAATGTTCCAGATAAACGCATTCTGGCTTTCTTTCTCTGAAACACTGTGTAGTAACTGCTGTTTCACATTTCACATAATTTCTCAGTCGAGAAGTGGTTCCATTTAGTCAGAGATCAAATCAACTGCAGACCATCTTGCTAGCCTAAAAAAGACAATTTGAGGATGTGACTTTAAAAGTACATTGGTGGTTAAATACATTAAAAACACTTCTATGGTTGTCCTTCGGGTTTAAGGTCATGAGGTCCAGATCTTTATTTATTTTTCACCATTTTAAAACAGGAAAGCCTGTCAGATAAATGCTTTCAAGACGAGATTTGGGAATAAATCTGGTCGAAATTCAAAGAAAAAAGTGAATTCCTGTTCACACTTTTATCACATCTGCATTGACTTTTAGATGAACTATTACTAAATCATTGCAGGGTTGATAACAGCCTGTGAGGGACTTACTGGGGGATTTGGTTCCCCGCACCACAGAGGATGCAACGCAAATTGAGTGCATGTTTCATTCTTTACATCAAATCTGGTAAAAAAATGACTTGTAAACAATAAAATCACCTTGACGATGCCCCCAGTGTACTGTGCTACGGAGAGATCCACGTTGGCCCCTGCACTCGCCCCCCACACCGGCTTGGCGTCCAGCAGGTATTTCCGGGCACATTCCACCAGCTGCTCGTGCTCGATGCCGACTCCAGCCAGCACCATGCGCTCGGGGCAGTAGTAGTTACTCAGGTAGCTGTGAAGCACCTTCTTGTCAATCGTGTCCACGGTGTCTGCAGGACAGAAGCGAGGCAGCCCGACTGTGTTGCCTCGATATGCGGCCTGGAAACGAAAAATAGACAATAAATCCAAAGCTACAGTAGGATTACAACATGATATCTCTGACACGCTTCTGTTTCCAAGGTCTGGAATTATTTGTTTTCTTTCAGAGTTGATCTGTAATTTTGGAAAGCAGAAAATGACTATGATGTGGCTTTGGGGATTAGATAGTTTGAAAAGGTTTGAAATGATGCTGACATGATGGAGTCGTGGTGGAGTCACGCATTCTGGTGAGACCAGGTTGAGTAAAAAGGCTTCAAAAAGCAGCAGGATATTTGAACTGCAAACTTTTGAACTAACTGGTTTGAGTGATAGTTAGTGATATTTAGTCAACTAGAATTACCTTTGTCCTATTAAACATTTGTGTGAGATTCCCACACAAAGCGCTTTAATTCTTGAGCTAATAGCCCAACATGTGTTTTGGAAGATCCCAGTGACCTTGAACTTTGAACAAAAATATCTAATCAATTCATCATTGAGTCCAAGTGGAAATTTGTGTCAACTTTGACGAAATGTCCTCCATGCGATCCTCAAATATTGCTATATTGATATCCAGCTTGGGCTTCTGGTAACTTCTGGTGGGTAATATCACAATAACTAAATCGCTTTATTATTATTAATATTACTATTGATAACAGCCTTGACGCTTAAAGTTCATACACTCGTTTGTTCACTTTCACAGCGAGATAGTGTAAGGTCTTAACAGAACATGTGACTCACAGCGTGGATCATCTCAGTGAGTAAAGGTTCAGGGTCCGGCCTCATGTTCAGATCTTCTAACTCAAAGCGTACCGCCATTCTGGTCATCTCGATCTCCTCATCTGCATGTAAACAAACATGTAGGGTCTCAGACAGGCTGTGGAGAGATTTGCCACAGTTTCCAGGGATTTGTCATTTTAAATAAGAGAGGACTTACCCAGCAAGCGAGGCTGCAGCACAGCGTCAGAGAGGAGACTGACCACCGTGTCCAAACCCTTCACTTCAGCAGACACTGCATATATGGTGGTATCCCTGCACAGCAACAATGACACATAGAAAAGCTGCTAAACTTTCTCAAAACAGGATGTGGAAGGTAGTTCACAAACATTACATTTTATTAAACTGAGAAAGGGTTTCACATGAGAGCCTAAATACCTTGATGTTTGGCAGTCGCATATTCCTCCGTGTTTTTCCAATGTGAGAAGAATTTCATCTTTACTCCCATACTGAGCTGTGGACTGAAAAAATAAATAAAAAAATTACTTAACGTGGCTCTCCCCCTTTATAATTAAATATGTGTTCTTTACAGTGTTGTACTTACAGAAAAGGCGAGTTTTTCTACAAAGTGTGCTATCCCACTCGGGTACTTTGCTTCATGTCTGGATCCAGAATTTACTAAAACTAAAAATAGGAGAGAAAACAAAAATGTTATTTACTTCAACAAGATCTCTAAGTAGATTATGATATTGAAGCTATCACTGCTGCAACTTACTCCCAACTGTGCAGAATTGACCAAACTTGTTTTGGGAAGCGACTTTAAGGCCATTCTCTAGCACTGTGATCCTGGTCTCGTACGTCTCCTGACCATCCACAGATGCAAACACAGGCTTCGGGATCCCGGGCAGCGGTGCAGAGAGCGAGATGTTTGGGTATCGGCTGCCACTGCTGTACTTTCTGTAAGCTGCGATCCCATACCTTTGAAAAAAGACAATGCAAGGTTTCTCATTTATTCTCCAAAAATGTGGCCCCCCACTTATTTAATTAGCGTATCCCTCTGACGTGTCATCCATATGTACTTTGTAGTAATGTTTTTGATATTCTATCGATTCACTAATGTCAATCTAAATTCAGTTTCCATTTTATTACAACTGAATGGTTATTTTTGAACAAGCTGTTGAATTGGGTTGCGTTATATCAAGGGTATCAACTATTTAGTATGCAGCAATAGGTATAAATGTGGTGAAAAGATGATTAGACCCACCTGTTTGTAGTATAGTTAGGCTCTAAACATAGTGGTACCTGATTATAACAACCTTCCAAAAAGGCAGGATTTCGTGTCATTTCATCTAACATAACATTATGATTAATTAAGATGTGTTGGTATTAATATTAATAATGCAAACATAGGTTTAACGTATCAACATTGTATAAAACAGTACATTATAGGTATCGGGTATGCCATGTAGCATGTTGTAAGAGGTGTGAGGTAGTAACCAAGTACAACATAATCATATGATGTTGTACTTGGTTATAGTGTTGCATTATATATATAATGCAACACTATAACATGGGATATAACTGCAGTTATGATATTTCAATTATAAATCACTGTGCCGACGTCTTGTTTGGAGTAAAAAAAGACCCAGAATGGCTTAGTTATAATAACAAATGACAACGAAAAACATGGACTTATTCATTTGCTGTAAATTAAAGTGTAATACTTTGATAAGTATGTTTTACTAGTTCTGTTTGAAGGATAACTGAACCGATTATCGATTATCAAAATAGTTGCAAATTATTTCCGTCCATCGACTAGTAGATTAAACTCTACAATAGGATCAAACCCCAACATCTACTGCTTATTTAACAGATAATTACTATAGTTTAGCTTGCACTTTAAACACTTTTATTCAAATATTTAACTCTATATCTCATAAATTATTGTTAGTCTTACAAACTAAAAAAGAACAACACAATGACACATTATTTATCTCTACTGCTTTACTCCTAAATATTGGTGGTTTATATTATGATGTGACATCCTGACGGCTGACAGCAGGACTACAGCTTGTTTGACGGCTAAGTTAGCATCGTGCTAATCTTGGGGGTTCAGGACGTATAAACGCTATGACGCTGCACATGACACGGCAGGTACTGCATGTAGCGGTAATGTGGTTTATCTGCGTTCAAGACATGTCTGGCAGAGCATTGCTTTTAAACGTGTTCCTACCTTTGAACACGACTCCAGCCTCTACACCTCGACATGTGAGTCGCCATCTTGGATCCTCTGTGACCAGAAGGTAACCCGGATGATGATGAAAGTTTACTTCCGCTGGGCACACTCCTACAAATCCAACAAACTGTAAACTGTAGACATATGAAACAAATAACCCATCAAACTTGTTTAAAAAACGGCTTAATTTATTTGGATATACCTTTGTCGTATTTGTTTTATTAAACCATGCTTTTGATTAATCTTGAGGTTCCAACGAGTGGAAGATGGTGTTTTGACTATAATTGTATATTTGTTTTTGTTTCGAGATTATTCCTCAATATTGGTCCATAACGTTTAAATTACCCGGTTTATCCTGGTTGCTTTTTTTCTCAAGGACAAATCTAATGATAAATGACTCCTTAGTCGAAAAACATGTCTCTGTTAACCTTATCTTAACATTTATTGTTTTGTCTACACCTGTTTGTGCTGCAGTCTCCACCACACTTACAATTCAACAATTTTGCACTTTAAAAAAAATCCCCTCCATTTCAGTGTAAACTGATCAGAGATGGGGTCGTTACTAAAAAAAAGTAATATATTACATATTACTTTTAAAAAAAAAGTAATATATTACACTACTTCGTTACTCTCTACATAAAGTAACTCGTTACTTTACTCGTTACTTTACTCGCAGGGCCGGCCCGCCCCTCCCTACAGGCAGATCACGCAGACTGCGGCGCACCTACAGTGTAAGCGCGCCACAGTTTTGCCTCTGCGAGACTCCACTTGCACCCCCAATTACTATTGCATTAAGGAAGACATAACACATGTCTTTCTTTTTATATGCTCTAAAATAGGCTACCAGCCACACAACAAGCTAACAGTCTGTGAAACGTCAAGACACTAATTAATGAAACCAGTTCAAGACGCATTATTCTTATCATTCTTTATGAGCGCATAATGGTAAGGTATCTAATTACTTATGTATTTAGTATTCTATAACTTAGTAACAGAGATGGTCAAACTAAAGTGGTAGAGACAGAATTCCTACAATGAAGCGGGACATTGAACTGTTCACCCGTGAGAGGGCGATCAACAAAAGAGAGCGAGCGGCCCCGTTGAGGGAGTTTACAGATGAAAAGACTCATCCATGTTTATGCAGCACTGCACGTGGAGATGTGGTCTCGCAAATCGCGCAGATTACATAGGCCTACATGTATATAAACCATAGACTGTAAACCTGCGGCGGAAACCCCTCTTGTCTGTCAGTGAGTGTGATTATTTTATAAAAGTAACGAAGTAACGCATGGCGGGGCAATGTTAGTAACTGTAGTGTAATTACTAAATTATAAAAGTAACGCGCTACCCTACTCGTTACCGGCAAAAGTATTATTATTACAGTAATGCGTTACAAAGTAACGCGTTACACCCAACTCTGAAACTGATGATACCATGCCGAAACGAAGCACACAAAATACACAAATAAAACAAATAATTAAGTTATGGAGTAAGCTCTTCATGTTTAAAAGATACTCTCGGAAAGGGACATGTGTGCTTTTTATCCTCTTTTTATTTGTTTTAATTTGTGCCATTAATTATTGGCTCATGTGTCTGGAGCAAAGTGTGCTCACTGAAAGCTGCTTACAGGACAAAGATTTATAAACCCTAAATCAACACTATCTTTGTAGCGAATTTCTTACAACAGTAAACCAGAGAATGGCAAGGTCATCCGTGGTCAGAGAACAGTTATCCCTCCTTAAGGCCTGAGAAAATCTATATCAAAGATAATAATTACTATATATCTCAGTATATCAAATGTCAATGTGTTTAACTTCAAAGAAAACCCTGTTAATAACTACATTTAACTCTACTATCATACAGATTATTTTGGAGAAATTTGATGCTACATTTCCATTGGTAGATTTATGTGTTTGATGTTGTCCTGAATCCAACATTGTTACATTTCGCCTGCTGCATCAGTCTTTGTCCGCTTAATTAAAATGACCCTCCCTGCATAGATTATAAATCGGTGCATTTGTACTTTAATTTCCATTTGATTATGCTGAATGGATTGTCAATTTACATTTGCAAGGACTTCATCTGGCACTAGTTTATGCCTACATGTGGACTACAGTGTTTTATCTGCAGCCATGTTTGTGTGTAAGTTAGACCGTCATTTGTTTTTATACTCTTCTCTGCTTTTAACCCAAAGAGCTCGCATTATTTGAACAATGGCTAAACGACTGCATGTTTAATCATAAAACAATTGTGACTTTAATTTTAACCCAATGATAGTGCTAGGTGAAAGTTCAGATCATCACCAAAGTTATTACAATTCATCCTATGAATGTGTGTAATGGTGTTGATGGATGAAAATTCAGGGGATCACCAAAATCAATATTATTCATCCTCCAGGGAGAATGTAATGTCTGAAGCCAACACATGTTGTGTCTGTTAAACTCAAAAAGTAAAACTCCCTCTGCTCATGAATAATGTTTGATACTTAAAACTTAAAAGCATGCTGGAATTAATTTGTTAGCAGCTGTACATTTTGTTGGAAGCAGCCTTTCAGATACAAGTACATAACTTAACCTATACAGAAAATAATGTTGTTGAGTTTTCTTTTACAATGTTCCTGTATCATTGTTGTGTTGTTTTTTCATGGTTTGGTCATGACCCCTTAGTTTAAATTAGTGTAAATCCTGATTTATGTTAGACAAAAGTGTTGGCACTCTTTGGAAACCATGAAGGGAAAGCTATTTCCTGTTTCGAGCCATGTCAGGTTTTTTGTTGAAGTTACATTGCATTTAGCTGACGCTTTTATCCAAAGCAACTTACAATAAGTGCGTTCGACCAACAAAATACAACTTGAAGAAAACAGAATCATATAAGTACATCAGGCTTCATAGAGCAAAAACATTTCAAGTGCTACTCAACTGGCTTTAGATAAGCCAGTCCTTTATTAGTATAAAAGTGCTTCGTTAATAGTTCTATCGCTCGAAGTGGAGTCGAAAGAGATGAGTTTTCAGTTTGCACCGGAAGATGTGCAAGCTATCTGCCGTCCTGATGTCAATGGGGAGCTCATTCCACCATCCTGGAGCCAGGACAGCAAACCCACGTGTTTTCGCCGATGGGAACTTGGGTCCCCCTCGCAGCGAGGACGCAGCGAGTCGTTTGGCTGATGCAGAGTGTAGTGCACGCGCTGGGGTGTACGGTTTAACCATGTCCTGGATGTACGAAGGGCCAGATCCATTCGCAGCATGGTAAGCAAGTACCAGTGTCTTGAAGTGGATTCTAGCAGTTACCGGAAGCCAGTGAAGGGAGCGGAGTAGTGTGGGAAAATTTGGGAAGGTTGAAGTTCTTGATTGGCCACATGGGAATTCAGTAGCGTTGACAGGATGAACTTGATCTTCAGCTTGATACAAAATCCCTGCAGCCATCTTCCAAAATCTTGTGGAAAAAAGCAGTTTACAGTAATAACTTTTTTTAAATGAGATGTTTAACAAATAAATGTGTGATTTTCATTCCCCATACCCTTTCGACCATGAAGTGTGCATGCTAAGCTGCAGACACATTTGTAGAAACAAATACAATTGCAACACAACTATCAACAAATAACATGCTTATGTAAATGTAACAGCCTAGTGAGGCCTGTTAACATCAAATTTATATTAAAAGATTCGGATTCCCGGCCACACCAATACAGCGAGAAGGACAGCACAATAGGTGTACAATGGTTTATTTGTACAAAGTTACCTTAAAAACACTCCTTTGATAAATACTTAAAATAACGTAATGTTCAATAAATATAAACCAGTTACTTAAGAATTACAGTTCTAGCAGGAGTTAATAAAATCCTGAAAGTCCTGTCCGCTTGGAAGTTAACTCAATGCCGGGTTTTTGCCAGGCAGAAGTGCAAGGTTCAAGTCCCTTCCAGGAAATCCAGTGCCAGGATTTCCACGTTGCCGGCCCGCAGCCCGTCAGCCTCTGGTCGCGGAGCCCTCGGTAAACAACAAAAGGAGACTCAGGGGAGGAGACAACAATGTAACTTTCGTGACGTAAAACTAGACACCCAAAAGCAGGAGAAATGGCCACTTCCCTTTATCTGGAGTTTGTTTCAGCGTTGAATCCGATGGTTAGAGGAGGGTCCGGTCCGATCTGCGGCGAGGTAAGGAGGAGCAGGAGGGATCCGATCCGGTCCGATTTGCTGCGAGGTGAGGAGGAGCAGGAGAGATCCGATCCGGTCCGATCTGCTGCGAGGTGAGGAGGAGCAGGAGGGATCCGATCCGGTCCGCTCTGCGGCGAGTTGAGGCAGCAACTGTCAAGAGAAGAATAGCTGCCGTCTAGCAGGTAGTCGGCGTATTTATGGAGGAGTGAATTTGGCAACTGGCGAATGGGATCGCTGATTTTCACTGGGTGCCGGTGTGTCAATCAGCAGTGTCTGTGTCTTTGTTGTGACAGTTCGTTGAGGAGGTTAAACAAGCATGTAAATAAAAAGAGTTCATCGCTAAATAGCGCACAACATTACAATCACTATATGTAACAATTTATAAAAGGTTTAACCATCCGTCCCACTGTCTAACATACTGACTTTATTCACTTTGTGACACTCCTCCCCCTTTAACAGTTGTCGTCCCGACAATCTTACTATCCATACCTGTCTGGAGGCCTACCCCTGTTTTGCCTCTGAGACCTTTGTAGGGGTGATGCATTTCTCTGCTCTTGTGGGGCCACAGGGTCCTCTCCTACGGGACCTGTGGGAGGAGCAATTACTATGGGCACAAGGGTCAAAGGCAACAACAGGGGCCTGGGAAGTAGCGAATTGGGGAAGATTGAGTTTGTTTCAATCTCTGGGGCATGATGTGGTACTTCAGGTGGATCGAAAGGGCAAGGCCTAAGATGGCTACGATGGATTGTCTTAATAGGGCCTTCTTTTCCTTCTGGTCTGATCTGGAAAACTGGCAGGCCGGGGTGTAGTTGATCATGAACAACATAGAGTTGGGGCTGCCAGTGGGGCGCCAACTTTCCCTCCCCTCTGCGGCGGAAATTTCGCAACAGCACCTGCTCTCCGGGTAACAAGGGGAGGTGCTTTGCTTTCCGATCG